AACCCAACCTAACCCAACCTAACCTAACCTAACCCAACCTAACCTAACCCAACGTAACCTAACCTAACCCAACCTAACCTAACCCAACATAACCTAACCCAACCCAACCTAACCCAACCTAACCTAACCTAACCCAACCTAACCTAACCCAACGTAACCTAACCTAACCCAACCTAACCTAACCTAAACCTAACCTAAGCTAAGCTAACATAACCTAACCTAAACCTAACCTAACCCAACCTAACTTAACCTAACCTAACCCAACCCAACCTAACCTAAGCCAACCTAACCTAACCCAACCTAACCTAACCCAACGTAACCTAACCCAACCTTACCTAACCCAACCTAACATAACTTAACTCAACCTAACCTATCGAGTTTCTGTAGACAGTATAAAGCGAGTAGCGCTTAGACAAGGACATTAAAACACTTGAAGGCTTAAACACATGATTTGCAACAAATGTTAAATTTAAATTTTTCCGTATTTCGTCAAAATAACTGGATTTTTCTATGACCCCGGTCTACATATCCGGTAGCCATTCACTTTAATGGGGAATCTCTGCTACTTGATGGCGTTCGTTAACATGGCTGCCGATTAATTCTTAAGTTATACGGATAATACTGGTAAATGTATTATAAATTAATATCAGGCTAGTCAGGGCTTTGGAGAAGTTTCCGCGGTGGTTTTTAGGTAGGCAACACTGATGCATGAAGTTTTACGATGGCGAAATTTATTATTCCTAAGTTTGAAGTACTTTAAAGGTAAAGTTGTACCTGTGCTTAATTATGCGCCATGAAGAGGCATGGAAGAACGGAGAAAAGTCTTAACCTCTGCACTAGAATAATAACTAAATATAGGACTATGGCATATCTTTTGTCATTTCTTGCTTTCATCAGGCGATTTTTTGGATAGTGCCTAATAATCGGCCATGACCGGTATCTGCTAAACCATAAATTACTGCCCGAAAATGAAATAGTCCATTCATTTGCCAGGATTTAACCTGTATATAAGCTACTAATACTTGTTAATTTTAACTTGCCGTTGATAATAATCCTTTCAATGGCTTATGCATCTGAATAAATAATCTTCAAACGAGTCCTTCATTAAAATTCCTTTGTTTATGGCTATAAAGTGAACTTAGGAGCATAATCGGGATGGAGTAGCAGCCCGTCGGTTTATTTCAGTCAGAGGAATTTCTATTAGATTTATTGTTAATGCCTGCACTGGAAGTTGCTTACCGAAGTCGATTGTGGTACTTGTCATTAAGTTATAATCGCATCTTTACTGTAATTTAATATTTAATTAAAATCTTTCTTAAAAACGAGGCTTATGCTACATAACTGCGGTAAAGATGAAGTCTTAACGTGTGAGTTCATGGAATGGAGCCCTGGAAAAGCTGTTAGTCGCTCAACTAATCACCAAAGAACCAACCAACAAAAAATTGATTAAGGGCGGAGTCCCTAGGCAACACTCTTTGCTTCAAATGGCAAACGTGCCTTAAAACCTAAAGCCTCGACTATTCAAACTAGGGTCTGTTGCTGCTGATGAGAGGGTATCCGGTAAGGCAGTTTGTCCTTCGTGAAAGGATTTTGGTTGGTTGGGTCTCTGGGTTTTGAACCCAGAGTGGGTTGGGATCGCTTCGGCTGAAGGCCTCCGTCTTTGGGGATAGCGGGCCGTGCGCCCCTCTTGAATTATACCCTGGTATTTGCCGTAGAACTGAGGAAAAACACGGAAAACCTCCTTAAAGTTAATTTTAATATTCTCTCCCATCTACACCTAGATCTTACTAGTGGAGAAGATTCCATGAGTGGTAAAGTAGGACTTTGAAGGAAGTGGTCACTTTTATTTGTTAGTCCAAAAAATATTTGGTAAGGAGTACAGATTACGAAAAGAGAAAATGTCGTAGCTGAGTGGTCAGCACCCCTTCCTCAAATCAGGCCTCGACCACTTCCACAGAATTTCCTATTCGCTATACACTCTCATCCTCTGATTCGACTGTATACGTCGTTAAACGAACTGTAAAAGTGAATTATGAAACCATCTGTCACTTCATCTGTTAGAGGTCCAAATATTTTCCTCAGTACCCTGTTTTCGACACTCTTCTGTTATTTCCTTTTTCAGAGAGGATAATCCCCTCATGCATGCAAGTTTATATATTTTGTATATTTAAAAATTGTAGCTTTTAGGATTCGAGATATTCAAAGCGGCGAGTCTGAAGATGGTTGTCTTCTGAGTTGTAGCACCGTGTAGTCTGGTAGAAATTTGCCGACGTTTCAGAGGTCCTTGCTGCCTGCGTCATGTACCAGACTACACGGCCCAACAACCCAGAAGACAACCATCTTCTAGCTTGTATAGAGCAGATGGGGGGAAAAATACTGGCGAATGTTATGAAATGAAACGAATTCGAGTAAATTATTGTTGCCAGTTTCCAGCTTTGTTGTAGCGAGGTCTAGTATTTAATTGTAGAAGATGTAATTGTAATTAGTGGATTCAGATTAATCTCTGGTGCTCTGTACTTACTCGGTTGCATTCAGTTTGTTTGCAAGATAATTGAACGAGCAGCAATAACCATGCGCTGTAGTCAGGACACTGAAAATATCTCTACAATTTGATATTTTCCCCTTTAACGCGCATTTTATCAGAAGATCCTCACAAGGAAGTGTTACCTGCAATGAAGAATAAATATCAATATAATATTTTATGTTTTTTTTTATAGATTTGTCTTCACTGGTTATCTCTGGTTGTTAGCACGTTAATTCAATTTACTTTACATTACAAGCACAACTTAATTTTTAACAGCAACATGTGTTCATATTGTCAAGATTCGCTGGCTAGAACTTCGCTGATTAAAACAAGCGATTAGTAATTATCACTTTTCAATTCTTCATTTCCTAGTGGTCGGAGAAGAATAAATTATTTGACAGTCAAAATAATGTCATTTGAATATGTTCTTTCGTCTTAAAGTACTACCATTTTGCTTACTACACTTGGACACGAAATATCACACTTACGTGTAACTGTTCTAAGCACAGTCCTTGATGACAAGCTAATAGTAGCTCACTTGATCAATAAACGTAGATTATTTCATCGAACCAGAAGATACATATTGCCTTCACTAGAAGCCGTCACAGGATCCCGTCTTGGGCCAAATAACCCTCATATGTTTTTTCATTAAAATCCATTTTAATATTATTATTATATTCCGATCTACTTCTGCATCTCACAGAAATGTAACTCCCTTTAGGTTTTCTGAATAAAAATTGTACACATGTTTTGTGTCTTCCATACGTACTACATTCCTCGCCAATCTTAATATTCGTTTTTAAATGTAATAACATAGGCCTGTAGTGAATAATTTTAATCATGGAGCTGCCCTTGTCATGAAGTTTTCCTCAGACTCCTGTTACTTTCTGTAACTGAGGTTCAAATACCGTCAGCACCCCAATCTCAAATACCCTCAGTCTATGTTCCTCCCTTAGAAACAACTGATATTAATATTTTTATGTCAGTCTTTAAATTTTTAGATAGGAGACGGAGGGCAAGATTTTGAATTCCTCCCCGTATTAAATCTGCTTTTAATTTCATCGTGAATGATTTGAAAGACTGTAGTTACAATTTCCGACGATGAACTGAGACAGGCTAACCCAAGTAATTCAGTCAAATTATGTCGACTTTTCATTTTTAAAGGCTTGAGATCTGATGTTTGTGGATAGTAGGACTTAAAAGAGCTTAGAGATGTTAAACCTTTTCCATACTGGGCTTACATTTCCAGAAAAAGATGTCATCATTCATTTGTTTCCATGGCGGCCTAATTCTGTTGATAAATAAATTATGTGTCAAAATATGACGGAATAGTTTACTTTCATGGATATTATAATACGCTAAAGACGAACTGTTGTACGCTTGTGTTAAGAAAGCTCCTGTGACGTAGGCAAGTGATTTGCGCATGCGTGAATTACTATTGTGGGGAGAGCATTGGTCCTTAGTACAAAGATATTTCTAGCACGTCATTGTTTGTTTCCGCTGTTCATACTATCGTTATCAATTTATTTGTTTTATTATTACTGGTTTTGTTCCTCACAGTGTTATAAAATATTACCATTAAAGTTAGTATCAAATTAGAAAGAGCACGACATTTTTCGGTCTGCTAGTATTGCAGCACGTGACTTTCTAGGCTGCGTACGTCAAAAGGTCTTACTAACTCTCGCATACTGTATCCGGTGCTTGTAAGAAGGTGTTGTGTTCATGCGAGGTGCGATCGGAAAGTTTCGAGACTGCGCGTATAAAAACCCGTACACTTATCTCAGGTATTAAATTCATCCATCACCCTCGAAGTAGTTCCGCTGGGAGTGAACACAACGATCCCAGCGCCGCTGCCAAGCCTGGAAGCATCCCTGGAAATCTTTCTTTGTCAGCCTGTCAAGCACCATCTGCGATTCTGCCTGAATCTCTTCTATCGTCTCAAATCTCCTTCCCTTGAGCTGAATTTTCATCTTTGGGAAGAGGAAGAAGGCACACGG